CAACACCAGGAGTTGGTGTATCCTGGCTCCTTTTTGCTCCTGTCTTAAAGACCAGAGCATGGCTTTTGTATGGCTTCTGGCATCTTGGGAGACACATGTCATTTAATCGGCATGCCTCCAAAGTGGCTGGAAGCCACTTCATTCAGCCTGTGTGTTTCACCCCAAGGTCACATGATCCTTGTCCCCAGCCTTGATCAGTTCAGTGTGCATAAGATTGCAGCCAGTAGCATTTGCTGGTGCATTTTCCTTCGGTCTCTTGGATGGCACCACCTTTGTTGAAATAGGATGCTGTATTTTTAAAATGTTCCTGAGGTTATGAATTTTTAAATATTGGTGTTTGTTTGCATGCTGGTTTCCAAATGTCTGTTTAATTTTTCCTTTAGCTTTGCATCTTGACATTTTGTGTGGCTATAAAGATCATTCATGAATACTCAAAATACAATAAAAAGCATATAAATATATCCTTGGGGCATATAGCAATTTGCTGACTTTCGGTAGCATTCTACTTGCTGAAATGTGGGATCAGGAGACTATGTTGGGAGAGTGCTTTTGAAACCAGACCTTTCTGACATGTTCTCTTTCTAACACCATAGTAGTGCTTGACAACTTGACACAACTTGCTACTGAAACTCTGTCAGATGCTGGCAGGTGCTGGGAAAGAGATACTGTGAACTGAACAGATGGAAAATCCCTCCTCTCTTTCTGCCTTTTAAGATGTATAATATATGCATTTATCATGCACACATTAATGTAATATTTGAATGCTAAGCACTACTCATTTCAGAAATGAACTGAATATGATGAATATGATGAAAATTATTCTCAGAGTATTGGCCTGTCTGTATTATCTGTTACAAATACAGTCAACCGGGCTGGCTCACTCTTGAAGATTGTAGTCTTATACATTACATTAAAATTGTGGTCTTATACATTACATTAAAAACCTAATTGAAGCTTCTGTTTCACTTTATTTGTGCCCCATATTAAATGATGCAGAATTTTAAAAGAAAATAAATGAGGATGAATTTAAAATTGAATGCATATCCCTTCCCTGGTAAGTTTCCACATTGCCAGTGGATATTGTTTGAAAAAATAACATTTTCATTCATGAAAAAACTATAATTATAATCATTTTGTTTTTATTTGTAAGTTCTAAGAAAGGTTGGGGAAAGTACCACTGTTCTGCAAGCAAAACAGAAGAACCCTGCAGCAATACCTACCCCCATATGATTTCAAGAGAGAGAGCTTTCACAGTACACAGTTATAATGCTTTCGCATCACTTTAACGGCCTTGATTCCTATCTGTGGAATCCTAGGATTTGTGGTTTAGGGAGGGCCTTTAGTATTGCCAGCTGGGGGAGCTCCTCTGCTACCTCTGAGCATACTACAAATCCCAGGATTTCACATGATGCAGTCATGGAATCCAAATGTGATAACTGTGTGGTGTGAACGGACTCAAGAGAGACAGAGCACTTTCTTTTCTTCTTGTTATTTAATGTGTTTTGAGTTTATATGGAGGTATTTACCTCTTCTGTATGCTGTTTTAACTTGTGTTTGGTTTAATAATTTTTTAAGGATCGAGGGGGGGTAATTGTTCTTAACTGTTGTATGACGATTTTATTATGTAAGCCACCCCAATTGACCTCAGAGGGGCGGGATATCAAATAAAAAAAAATAAAAATAAAAAAGTATTATTATTAGAGAATAAAGTTAGTCTAGTCACCTGTATGGTCATGTGCAGCCAGAAGGTAGGCTAGTGAAAATAAGAAACTATGGTAACACAGCATCATACAGATCAGGGCACTCTGTGGAGAGGAGAAGTGATTTCTCTGTTAATTCTGTAGGCAGCATATACATGTAATAAAAAAATAATAGCAACCAGAGTGATCACAGTTTAATATGAACTCCTGGCTACAAGCTAACTTATCTTATTAGCAATTCACTTTTTTTCATTGTAAAACTATAAATTCCAAAGAAGTGTCAGTTCTTGCAATAAAACTCATTGGGTTTTGCTGAGTTTTGCTGGTTGTTGGCACTGCCACACCTTCTCATTCTATTCTTCTGGTGATCTGTTTGTAGTGATTTCTTGGATCTGCACCAGGGGTCTTCCAAAGGGTGTTCTAAACCTATGGTTTGAAGAGCAAATTTCCTTCCTTCCTTTCATGTTGTAGTACAATAGTGCAAAAGTGCCATTTCACTGCTTCACTGATGGTCCCATGCACTACAACTGAGGAAGGGAAAAAGGAAAAAGAAAAAAGTTGGAAACTCTTTTGCTCTGATATGTCACAGAATTCTTTTTTAAAAAACAAACTCTTGATGATGGGAATAAAATGTTGCACCTCATACCAGAAATAGCCAGAATATGGTCTGGGAGAATAGAAATGGATATTTGGGTTTTTTTAAATTAAAAAAAAAAACTACTACAGCAACAAATACTGGAAGCTCCTGACATTTTTCAGGAAAAGGAACTCTTTCTCAGTCTGGCTACTGAAGATTCTTTTAACTGGAGAGTATCTGTCAGCCTGTGCCTGCATTATGTGAGCTCTGCCATAACTCCATCTCACCATCTTCTCCCACCACATACCCATTTACCACATAATCCTTTCTCTCCTTCTCTCTGTTGTCTTCTTTTTTTAAGATAGCAGCCATCCTTTAAAGAACAACCAACCAATAACTACTGAAATAAAACACCAGCAGATTGACTGTGTGTGATAGACAACTATGGTATCAAGGGGAAGGGAAGGCAGTCCTCCAAATTAATTATGGCACTGCAAATGTGAAAAATAAATTCCTGAAAAAGAGACATTTTTCAGGAGATCCAGTGATGGACGTACTCTTGAGGTTGAGTTAGAGCTTCCTAGTATCTCATTTAATTAACTCAATCTGACTTTTATAGGGTTTTATGTTATGTGTTTCCTTGTTCGGTAAACAAACAGCAGAAAATTAAAACAGGGCAGCTGCCAGCAAATGGTAAATTTAATTGAAAAATAATGAATTACCATGGGGTGCCACCAGGGGTTTTGTCAAGATAAAGTTATTTATCCTGGAAAGCTTCCACTCGCATTTGTCAGGACTTGATATATACAGAAGTAAAGAGAGAGAAACAAGCTGTGAGACTGGCTGGGGCTGGATGCTGATGGCACAGTCTTCCAAGTTCTGCTTCTGTACAGTCTCCATTTATCTCCATGGCTCAGCAACCAAGTATCACTTCCTTGAGGATATTGCTGAAAGTTGTGAAACTGGGCAGCAGCACTTGCTGAATGGCTCCCTGATTCTCTGTGCCTCTATAAGAGCTGTGGAAGGAAAAGGCAGCCAAAACCAAGGATTTAAGAGTCATTTCATACAGCTCCTGTATGGCAGGACAAGGAATGGGTGAAGCTTCTGGAATTTGCTTGTGGAGTTGAGTTCACCAGTCTTGAAAATGCTTAGACATGTGTTAAGGAGAAGGCTCACCCATTCCTGAAACTGATTGAGAAGGAGGTGAGGAAACATAGGGCATGATCATAAATGGATCTTTCTACCCCTCCAACCAAGCCAGAAGGCACTTTTAAGGGGTAGTGCATGTGCCCCTATGGCTGAGGAAGGGCAAGAGACACAAGGAAAACATTCAGTGACAATTCTGCAGCTGGGAGAAGAGAGATGGTATCACCTCCCTGAAACTCCAGAATTCCTTGTTGAAGATCTCCAGATATGGGCATCTCCTGCCTTCCCTGGTCATTGGGGGCATGTTCCAGCCCTTTGAAGCTGCCTTCTGGCTTAGGTGAGTATGTTGCACAAGGAGTATTGAATACCCCCTTCCCTAATGTCTCCAAAAGGGCATATGATCAAATACCTCCAAGGCAATATGAGTATATTTTACCGATAGAAGTCCTGGCATGATCTCAACTTGCTGGACTGTGGCTGGGGTTGCTGAAGGAATTTGTGCATATTGAATTCTGACATGAACAGACCTGTTTTACAATTCTTCAGTTGCTGCGCAGTTTGAGATTTACAATGGCTTTTGCATGTTCTACATGTTCTAAGCTCAAATCCCTTATTATACTCTGTTTAGAACCCCACATTTTTTGAGTAAATGCATGGAAAATACATATTTAAAGAAGAGTTTAGATACTATTTTGTGCACTTTTAATCCAACTTGAAGAGAAATACGGATATAGGATGGAATAGCAATAGCAGCTTCATTTATATCAGGGGTAGGCAA